CTTAGATTGTGGTCGACCTCCTTGTAAGGTTTGTGTGATACTCACTTGTTAGATGAAATCATAACCCTCTTGGGTTATTAAGTTTTGCAACAGATTTTAACATCATAAATGACTAGTTCACAAAGTAAATTAATAATTGTTAAAAATACCATCACAAATTTAGAATAAAAAAAATCTTCAAACTATTTTATCCCACACATGATTAAATCTCATAATAAGGAGAAATAGTAAGGAAAACTACTCACTAAGCATGGAGAAAAAATAATATAAATATTTGTTTAATTCAAAGCAAATTCACTAGAGATGTCTTTTCTAAAAGTATAAGATAATGATAAACACAATACCTAGCTTTTTCTCTCTGAAAAAAAGATGAAATTCTCTCCAACAAAGTCTCTTGCTAATCCATGCGATGTTTATACAAGTAATTTCAAATATATCTCAAAATCCCTCAGCAATATCTCTAGAAAAGGTATAAATCTACATCTCCTACTCCTATTTACAACCTCTAGATGTTCTTGGAAGTTTCAGGAGTTTGAAATGCCAAAAGGAGTCTTCCTAAGTGGCCAAAGTTGCTTAAAAACTCCTTGGGGTGTCTAGAAGTCATCCATAACCATCTCTAATGTTTAGGCACCATTTTCTGGGCAATACTGACATGTAGGCGCAGTTCCAGACGCTTAGGCTCCACCCTGGTGGTAGCACGCCCATTTCACATTGTTTCGCTTCATTTCACCCCATTTCACCTCCAAACTGCTTCAACTGCTATACCTTCTAGATAAATATGAAAATAACCTTTCTTTAAAGGTTAATTTTACTCAAAAATATGTGATAAATGTAAAGGATATTGAGTATGGAAAGACATCAAAATGCACCAGACAGAATTTTTTTCCTTGCTCAATTTGACTCTAAATTGCACCATTTTTGCTCCATTTTTTTCAAAAAATCCAACACTTGTACTTGGAAAAAAACATGCAAAATAAATTTCATTTAAAGTGAAATATCATTAAAAATGAGTATAAAATCTATATAAAAAAGTAGATAATTTTTAGGCGTGCCACCCTTCCTTCTATTGAGCCCTATCACCCCTTTGACTTTGTTGATGTCATCTTGATGGCCTAATGCCAATGAGAAACTGCCCATTCGGGATACAATGATTTATCCTCTACCATTATGGCCTGTATGTGTTTTAACATGTTGGATACCTCCGTCAATATGATGTCGGTTATTCCATGGGCTTCATATGCCAATAAGCTACTACCCATTTAGGATGTGAGAGACTCACTCACCGCCTAATGACTTAGCAAGAGCTTTAAAGCATATGTAAGTTCCCACATAAAATAACATTCTTTTGTTTATCTATTTCCCTAAGTTCACGATAATACAAGCGAAACTTCTTTTATTGAGAGTATTCAAGGGCATTCCCAAAAATGTAATTAACCAATTGGGATACATCCCATTAAGAGTGCTCTTGACTATAGAACAAGCACATACACCTAAATCTCTAGTTGTGGGTAGTCTACATAGGTACTCTTTCACAAATATTGGACCAAGGTGCATCCTCCCGATCTTGTTTGGGCAGACATACTTGATCTATCCTTATAAGGTATACCACATGTAAGCTCTCTACGTTCTTTCTCAGTTATCATATTTATCATATGTCTCTTCCTTTCCGGTTCCTCCCTTCTCATGATCATTCATATGATTCGGAAGAGAGATTTATTCGGAATGGGAAATATATAACAACCACAAGTTGGCGACTCTTAAAAAAAAAATAAAAAGAGAAAGCAACGAAACACTATTGTTAACGGTTATGCATTAAAGAAAGTTGTTATTCAGGTGGAAATGACATGATTTATATAGGGATTGATTTTTGATACTCTTATGCATTTACATGTTAATAACAGAGACTTTAAATGCAACTTGATTCTAATGAGTTCACTTTTACATACACAAAAGGTGGTTGCAAGTGCCTCTTTTGTAGTATGATACCTCTTCTAACATGGCTTTGGCTACTTGTGCCCCTTGTAGTTTTGCACCTGCCTCTCTACTCAGGAGATCTATTTTAAAAGGGTTATGATAAATAATTTGACCTGAGGGGTTCTTTTGGATGTTCTTTTCAAATATGCATTTCTACATACACAAATTTGGTTTTATGTGTTTCTAGCAAACAAGAGCCCATGCATTATAAGTCCACTACTTTATTCTAATGAAAGATTATTTATTTTCATGTTTCTACTTTGAACCTTAAGATTTGAAACTCGCCGAGCTCGTGACGGCCTTCAAAAAATGGTCATTTTGCTCAGCAATGCTTGCTTTGCCTACACATTTATGAGTTTGGTTTGTTATTTATTACTGTTTATTTGTTCTTTCATTACAAAAAAAAATACAAATCATTAATTTACTGGATTATATAATCAACATTGAGCTCAAGCAATTCGTCAAGCTTTAAGGGGGCCAAAAACTGGCCAACATATTGTGATTGCAACCTCTTATACGTAGTGTTCACGACACAAAAATGCAACAATATGTGTCATAAATTTTATATATGCCCCAAAATTATAACAAATAGAGACTGTAAGTTTTTTTAAAATGGGTTAATAAATTAAATGATGCAGCACTAGAGAGAAATGATGAAAAGAAAATGACATTTGATGATAAGTTGAAGAATGATCTTAAGGACATGAAATTTCTTGTGAAAAATTGCTCATATTTGATTTTGTAATCGTAACATTGCTTTTATTATTGTTGGCTTTGTTTTTGTTTTGGTCATGATATATTTTGGAGGACAAACTGTGCTACATTATGTGTTTTTGGTAGAAAAACTTGTCTATGTAGCTAAGAAGCAATTTATATTGAACTTATATTTATATGATTATTTTGAGGGCAAAAAATTGGGTTAATATTCGCCTTGAATTCTCTTTTGGTATTGTGTTGGAAAATAACTTTAAAAAATTATCATTTGATTGACGACACATGAAACACTTTCAAAACTGTGTTTTCCAAATAGAATTCTGAGAGTATGACAGTCATTATGTCAATAGACAGTGTTTTCAGAACTGTGTTTTTCAAACATATCAACTGTTTCTGAAACAGCAGTTTCTGAACAACAGATTTTTAACAGCAGATTCTCAAACCAATTTTTCTACATCCACAAATGAAACAAACGCATCTTCAGAAATTATTGAGATGAGAAATATAAGAAGTTCATTAGTAATACAATGAAAACACTTAAAATAGAGAGTTATTGAGCTATGTTTAATGAGTATATGCATGTTGATAATCATATTTAAGCTATTCAATGGGGCTCTTAGTGGAGTTACTTGGTCGAGTGAACAACCTAAGCTGTCAAGATAGCTCAACAAATCACCTAGCGTCACACTTTGAATTTGTTCCAAGGATTTTGGTCATTCGATGTTTTTCTCTTTCTCATCTTCCTAAATTTTAAGCTCACCAAAAAGACGTGAATTATTTATCTAAGATTCTGGCATCATCACAAGTAAATTAGATTCTAACAATTTTGTATCATATTATTAGTACAATTAATTAAACCTAGATGCTACTATATTAGGTCTTATAACTAGATCAATACAAATCTAATTTTCAAACATAAAAATTTCTTCCATCTCTACGAGATTATTTATTTTACAGGCCATTTAGGACAACGACGTAGCTCACCCCCTCCGTTTTCATTGATTAAATAAATTATGTTTTGTGACATGTTGTTAAATGTGACATGTTTTACATTATATGTCCCGCCACAGGTTAACACCAACAGTTTGTGTTTCTTCACATGGATATAACTAACATTACCCCTCATTTTTCCGCAGCTCCTATTGTACTATGGCTTATTTAGTGAAGGTCTTTGTCCTAACTCAAGATATTCCCTCCCCCTGTGCTCATGTTTTTAAGTTGGAAATTTTGATCATAGCTCTTCTTATCTCTCTGCCTCAATCGATTATATTTGATCTTTCAACTCCCTCCTCTAGTTTCATATCTTGGGTTAGATTATGCAATTTTGTGATATGATATGCATATGTGGCTTTCAGTTGTGAAATTTTTCATGGCTTGGTTTTTGCAAGTTTGTCTGCATAGGTTCGTAGCTCTCTGGCCTAAAATTTTTTCATACATTTTTCATTCGTTAGTAGCTCCATGTGGACATCCATATGTAGCTTTGTATGATGTCTCACATGATTTGCATTTCATTATGTTAATATGAATTTTTTATTCTTTATTATTGTTGGTTTGCTCTTTGGGAGAAATTATTCTTTTTGTGGTTGGTGTTGTTGATTTATTGAGGCTGGTGTTCTTTGTTGGGAGTGTAGAGAAGTGAAATAATAGAGCTTTTATGAATTTAGTGTTGTCTGTTGGTGTAAGTTTATTTTTTGGGAAAAGTTATGCTTCTATTGTTGTCCTCTTCGAATAGATTGCTACCCACTCTAGTATACCTCTATGTTATTTATTTTTTTGTGGTGCATTGGTGTTGTGGTTTGGTCGCATTGTGGCGATGAGATGTCAAAATTAATATTTTGAGAATTTTACTTATTGTTTTTAAATTCTTGGTTTTTTAATTTTACTTGTTGTCACTTATTGTTAAGTGGATGTCACTTTTAACTGTAATATTTGAACTTGAGTTTTTGAGCATTCTGAATTTAAATTTAAATTCAGTTTTCATTTTTAGGTTATTCAGCTTGCAATTGATATCTTACAAACAACACTAATATAAGAGCCAAAACGTATTCTTTTAATAAATAACTGCAGCACAACTAGACTAAGTAAACACTGACAACTTTCCCAGAACAGCCTTTCCTCAGCAATTTCCTCAGACAATCTTTCAAACTGCTAAATGAGCACCAAATAGATCCTTTATTTGATAAATTGTGACCAGGTAGAACAACATTCCAGACAAACCTCAAAGAGGCCGAGTAGCCAAGGTATAATTGGTCTTATTGGCATCTGGGACGCGAAGCCCACCATCCATTAGAGTTAAATATGGCGGTGGCCAGCATCCGCCTTTTTTTTGGGGAAGCCTTTAAAATATTCTCATTTCCTTTTCGGAATCGGATCTGTGCGTTCCGCACACAATTTCTTTGCCAATCGGAGCTGGAAGCTCAGCCTGATTTCAACGAAGGAGGGAGGGAGAGATACCTAGAGCTAGAAGATGTCGTGGCAAGCGTACGTTGACGAACATTTGATGTGCGAGATCGACGGCCAACATCTGACGGCCGCTGCCATCATCGGCAACGAAGGCGGTGTCTGGGCTCAAAGCGAGACCTTCCCGCAGGCATGTCTTCTCTTTTTTTCTTTCTTTCAATCGCAATCGGGATCGAGTCAGCTTCTTCACGAATTTGATGGACTAAAATGTTGATTCTGTTTTGAGCGGATTTTAAACTTCCATTTTTTTGGATGCCGAAGGGCAACGTCTCCATATCATACTTCTCGGGTGTTCTCTTAACATCTGATTTCATAATTTTTTGTGTAAGTTTGTGGTATGGTCTACGCTGAGTGCTTCTCCTGGTTCACATGGAAAATTGCTTGGTTTATCGAGGGAATAAAAAGGAAATAGGGTTGAATTCGTTGCCCAGGTGACTAGGATGAGATTTCTTATTCCGGTGATGTAGGCACTGTGATGGATTTCAGATTATGTCTCTTCTAATTGCTTTTTGGGATCTTCCAGTTACCATCGGTTGCATTATTTTTGGTAATTCAATTCCTTGTTGATGAACTGATTGCTCATTCATTTTTGGGAAAGTTGGCAGCTTCTGATAATGATGATGTTCTCTATCGTCTAGTTGTGCTGTGTTTGGACATCGGGCAAGCATGATTGATCTCTAGGTCACTGCCAACTGTATCTGCATTATATATATATATATTTTTTTGAAATTTTAATCCATTTATTTTCATGTTTTCTTCCAACGTTTAAACAATTTGTCGGGCTTTCAAATTTGAAAACTTGGTCTGACAGAGGTTCCTTTCCTAATCTTGTATGTGAATGTGCTAGATAGATGTCAATTTATGGCGCTAGCTTTGTTTTTTAAGTTTTTTCTTTCTTCATAAAGCTCAGCAACCAAGTCTTTCAAAATTTTAGTCTATTCAACCCATGTGGAGGTTCTTATGCTTAGTTTATTCTGGATCATTTCAAATCCTTTTTATTGGTCACTTTGTAATGTTAAAAAATTTTATTTTTGGTCAGGCTTCCTGCCTTGAGATGTGATAAAGTATCATTTTGGCGTGCCTTTATCATAATGCTAATGAAGAATAGAGATAGCATCCTTTTGTTTTGTAAGTTTTTGCATTAAAGAAATTGAATGTCTTTTTTAATTCAAACATGTATTTTTAAAATTATGACTAATGTCACATTTTAAGATTGTTATTTTCTAACTTCAAAGTTTGTATCAATAAAAACAGATATAGATTTTCGTGGGACAATCATATAAACCATAAAATTTTTCCTATTAAAAAATTTTGCTCACACTTTTTATAGCTGACACATTCTAATATTTCTTGCTGTAAAAAGCTTCTTATCACTATTTATTTTATTTAAAACAATAAGAAAGATATAGCCAAACAATACTGTGACAGTTTTTTGGACAGTTATGTTATAAAATAGCTGTCCCAAGCAAACACTATCACTGATCTTACTGCTTTCAGTGAGGCGTACTCAGTTATCTTGCGATGTATCTTTTTATAATGCAAAGGAAGCAATCAAGATAACGTATGCTTGTTTGTGGCTACATGCAGAGAAGAAATTCAATTTTTATTTGTTAAAAAATGTAACTCGTGCAATCTTTAAACTGTAATTACATTCTAAGATTTGTGTTGTAACTTCTAAGTTTGCATATGATAGATCATATAGATTGAATTGCAGGTTTTTTACTTTGCAGGAGTACTTTATGAAACATAAACTATGATATTATTTTTGTGAATTTTACTTTTATGAATCTTACCTATTTGTTGCTAGTCGCTGCCCTACCAAGTTTGAATGATCTTGAAAATTGGAAGAACACTAATGCATATTGGCATGCCTTGAATAAGAGAGTCTGATACATTTCAGTTGTTTCAGATTTGCCTCTTCAAACTAGGTATTTAATTTTATGGATCAATTTTGACAGAGACGTTGAACAATTATGAGTTAATCCATATGGTAATTAATTACAAAATATAATTAGTTGTAGCTTTAGGGAGCAATGGGATTCTATGGTTGAAGTGCTATTGAACACTCAAAATATTTAATGGCCTTTAGAATTTTGAATAATTTTGGTATTCAAATTATCTTAAATTCTCAGAGGGGAAAATTTGAATCTATACAAAACATAAACTTAACATTTGCATAGTTTGGTTTATCCGGGTAAATTAGTTATGTATTGGGTAGAATGTTTTTTTATTTGAGTTTTACCATCATTATAATTGTTTCCAATATCCATAACTTAAATATAGTTTGTATTACAGAAAACTGTTCAGGTAATCAATTTTGCCAAGCTATATGACATGTTCTATTATAGTCTACTTGACTTTTGTTGAGGACTTGAGAATATTGGGTTTGGTCTGACATCCAGTTGAACATAATTTTAATTTAAAAACACTATTAGATGGACCTCACTTGTAAAATTATGCATTTGGGTTAAAATAGATTTGTATACAATTGTATTATGCCCAACATTATTTTAAGTTTTGTTTATACTACCTAACAAATGGTATTGGAAATAATGACAATTAGGGTCTAGTAGTTTATGCGGTTTGTGGCTTCCAAGATTTTCAAGGCTTTCTACCATGTGTGAACAAGGTTTAGAGTAGGCGAGTTCTATTGGGTTGGGTTTCGTGTTGATTCACAAATTTTGATGGTATTAAAAAGTTGTTATTGTTTTTTTTTTTTTGGTGGGGTGGGGCTGCTTGGGCGTGGTGGTGGTGTTGAAATAGAGAGTTCTCATGTGTGGGAGAGATTTGTTAAGTTTCATGAGAGTTTGTGTTTAGTCTTGCATTACATAATTGAAATGTACGTCAGTGCATAAATGCTAGATTGACTTTCACCAATAGACTTGAGATTTTGATTTTAGGAAAAGGTTTGACATTTGTATCTGAAACCCAACTTTGATCTCTTTGAGGCCGCTACTCCCTAAAAACCAGCTATTATTGCAAGTAAATGTGGAATGAACTGATCAAGGACTAAACAAATTGATGAAGCTTTGCTGCCGTAACAAAGATTCATGATTTGTTCGGTTAGCAGATGTGCTGATTTGGAAATTGCATATCCATTCCCTTTTGTTTGACAAATCTTGCGAATGCTAGGGTGAAATTCAATGAGATCTTATGTAGGATCATGCATATCTCTACTTTGTCAATTTCAAGGGACCATATTCCTCTCTCTAGGGGCTATAGAACTATCTTCTTTTTCTCTCAGGAGTGACCAGCCGCTGGTTGGTATTTTTCATTTAAATGTTGGTTAGAGTAGTAGAATCATTGTTACTAAGATAATGATCAAATTCCCTCTTTTATCTTGCTACTTATTTCTACCTTCTACATTTGCATGGCTTAAATTAGTTTAATGGGAAGGCTTGTAAGCTTATAGGACTCTCTCTCTCTATATCCTCCACGCCACTCCCCCCTTCCTCTATTTCTTGCTGAATTCAGCTATATAATGAAGAAGAGAAGCTCTGAAACAACTTGGAAAGATGCCATTGGGCGCACTATTCACTTAAAAGTAAGATACGTGGAGAGCATTGAAAGAGGACTGAGGAAGGGGGTAAGGAGTGGAGTCATTGCCCTTTCTCTTTATTTTTTGTGTTGGTACTTGTACTTGGGGAGGCAATGAGACTACGGTAGGCAATGAAATAAGTAGGATAGAGTTTTCAAGGGGATGTGAAATTGGGCATGTATGTGCTAAGATAGGTGTCCTTTTTTAAGTTGGAATTTTGCAAGAAATAGAGTGGGCTCTTAGAATTCAAACTTGGAATGCCTCTTAATTAAGAAAAACAATGTAAAACTGTTCCTTTTTTACGGCGAACTTTTTGATTTGATATTCTTTGTGTCATTATTTTGGACGGTAAGATAATGATTCTCAATTATTGTGTTTTATTTGGATTTGAAGAACTTTTCAGTATGAAGCAAAATGTTATAAGATTTGGTTCTTGATTTTTTTTTTTATTTCTATGATTTTACGATTGATGATTTTTTTTTCTTACTTCCGATGCTTTCCTTTTTTACGACCCTTTTGTTACCATGACCTTGTCAACAGGTCTTCTGATATGATATATTCCTATGTGGAATTTATAGACAAATAGTATTGCAAGCCTATACTGCTTATAAAAATATGATGAATTTTTCACATAATTTATTTTCAGTTTTTTTACAAATTCACATGATGTTTGTTCTCCAAATGGTTGTACTAATCCTTGAGAGCTTAGATGTTAAGCCAATGGCTACCGCTTGGCATTAGAATAATATTCAATATTTATTTTTGTTGAAACCAACTAATAATTTTTCTACATTGCAAATATTTATTCTTATTAACTCTCATTTGTTTGATTTCCAGTTCAAACCTGAAGAAATAACTGCCATTCTGACTGATTTCGCTGAACCTGGATCTCTTGCACCAACTGGCTTATACCTTGGCAATGTCAAATATATGGTTATACAAGGTGAACCTGGGGCTGTTATTCGAGGGAAGAAGGTAAAAAATTAATCCTCCCTATTATTTTTATGTTATTTTTTTTAGCTAATAATCTAAATTTCATAGAAGCACACATCTATACTTTGTTGTGAAAATTTGAGTGCAATATGGAGTATACATTTGCCTTAAAGCAATGTTTTATTTTAGAGTTGCTGTTTAAGGCTAAATATCTATTATTGCGTTTTGACACAAGAGATTAAGATTACCTTATGTTAGGATTTGTTTTAGTTATCTATGAATTTATTATAATTTAAATTAACATTAATTATCCTTCTAGGTTAATTATAGGTTAAAATTTTGAATCATTTAGGATTATATTTGTTTTTAAACTACTTAATTTTATCCTATAATCCCCTTTTTATAATTAAAGATTCCTTACTTGTATTTTTAATCAATTGATAATAAATTCAAATGAAAAATTCTCTCATCTCCTTTCCCAAATGAAAAATTCTCTCATCTCCTTTCCCACTTTCTCGGTGAATTTTGGTTTCTTCTATTTTTGATATTGCGTCATTTGGTATTCATGTTATTTGGTGCATTATAGTTCTTCAATTTGTGACCACAATCCCTCTTTACTATCGTCTTATGTACGCAATCCGGATTATGAACTCCACCTTTTTCAATTGTCCACAAATGCGACCTTCATCTAAACTTTTCCGAACCACTTCAGACCATTCAAGCATCTATATCCCAATTTTGTTCGCAATTCCATCGCTCAGCCCTTGTGCAAGCGACCACCTCATTTGCATACTTCTTATCGTCATTCATGAAATATTATTGTGCTATTTTCCTTTCATAAATTCTACACTTCATGCCATTGTTGATCTTTGCCAAGCTTCTTTCTCTTGCTTGTGCACGTGGTTTTCATCAAGACACACACACACAAACATATACATAAACATATTAACATATACATAAACCTATATACCCCACGCATACCTAAACATATATATATGTATGTATGCACACATATACCTAAACACATACGTTTATAGGGGTACATGTATACCTAAACACATACATATACCTATACTTATATGCGTATACGTATTGGTACACATAGGTGTGTATATATATGCATGTATATGTACATATATACATACATATAAATAAATATACATATACATACATATAAATACATATATCTCATCAACGATACCAAACACGTAAAGAGTCTCCACTATATATATATATATATATATTTATACACACACACACACACACATATTGGTCATCCCGGACCTGGACATTTTTCTTTTGGAATTGTGGAGTTACTGTTCCATTGGATTTAATGGACCCTGTTAATGGGTTTCCGACTTTTTCCTTAAATGCTGTTAAAGTTGTGGCACCTACGAAGGTCTCTCAAGCTGAGGTTATTGGAAGTTCTGAACAACCCACTGACAAGTTGGTGTTCCCACAACATTACCATGACATTCTTGATGGTCGTGGTAAGTGTTCTTTTGTTAAAAATGCTGGAAAGAAATGGGTAAACTCGCCTTATTTATCACTGAAGCTGAAGTGAATGCTTTGGCCGGTCCTTGTAAGTTACCTTTGTGGGGAGGTTCCAACTTGGACATCAGGAAATGTTTTGAAGACTTCAAGCTTGTGGGAGACCGGAAGTTTGGAGTTTGATGGGATACATGTAATGATCCACTTAACAAAAGAAGCATATTATGCTAAGATTTTTTCCAAACAGTATATCAAATTTGAAGGCAATTCCATGAAGTTGCTTAAGTGGTCCCCAAATTTTGACCCTAGTCAAGAGCCACCCATTGTTCCAATATGGTTTAAATTTTCTGGTCGTAAAATACACTTTTTTAATCATCAATTTCTCTTCTCACTTGGGGTCACACTTGGAAGACTTATGAAGCTAGATGTTTCCACCTAAAACCTTGCCAGACCTTCTGTTGCATGAATTCTGATTGAAAGGGATGCCACCCTACATTAAGTTCATGAAATATGGATTGATACTGCTCATAATGGGTACTGACAGCCTGTTGTCATGGACTATTGGCCATATTACTGTGGAAGTTGTAGAACTTTGGACATACTTAGGATAAGTGTTTCAAAAATCATCCTGAACATAGAGTTACTGCCCTTGTTCATTTTGATGCTCCATCTGTTGATACTTAGTGTCTTGTGGTGGAGCCACTTGCTAACAGACAAGATGTTGACAGGAATTTGGGTGATGTTGGACAAGAGGGACCTAAGGAAGATGGAGGAACTCAGGTTCAAGACTCTTTTCTTGGAGAGACGTAGTTTTTGAATTCAAACAGGATGGAAAATGCTGCCCGTAAAGAGCCCACCCATCATAATCTGGTTGATGATCAAGAGCCTGCTTTTTCCACTATTCTTCTTGATAAAGGGCAGGCTCCTAATTTGGATAAGCAGTGCACTACAACATCTTCACTTGAATCCTCATGGGGGAATATAATACCAATGACCTCCAACTATTTATGGAAGAGGAATGATAGGTTTAGAAAGCAAGGAAGAAAAAGAGGTAATTTGGAACTCAAAAACATGCAAGATGATAACTTTATAGCTGCTGGTAGTACTCCACAAATTTTTGGAGAGTCTCCCTCTAGGCTGACAAGGGGAAAGCAAAAACTTTTCAATATGTTTAATTTTCTTTGTTGGAATATTAGGGGGATTGTTTATCCTAATTCCCTTAATAGACTCCTTCATCTCAATAAAAAATATAAGCCTTGGTGTATTGCTATGCTTGAGCCAATGATATCTATTAATTCCCAAAACATTACTAAAAAGTTCCATGGTTTTCAATTTTATGCTAACTCCAACAACAAGATCTGGGTTTTGTGCAGAAAGGAAATACATTGGTATGCTCTGCCTCAATTTGTACACATGGAATTTAATATTGATGGAAATACAGGTTTTGCTACCTTTATTTATGCTGGCTGCACAAAGATGGCTAGAACTGAGCTCTAGAAGGAACTGATTTGTATTAGTCATTCCACCCAATTTGTCCACCTCTCATTCAATATGAATGGACATAAAGGTCAAGCTACCTTTACCTATGTTTGATGTACAAAGGATGCTAGAAAAGAGCTGTGGAATAGGTTGATTCATATCAGCCAACAGGTGAACTCCCCATGGGGGGGGGGGGGGGATTTCAATTGTATCTCATCTCCTATAGAAAAATTGGGAGGTAGATCTCTTGACATTCACAAGATGACCAAATTTAATTATGATATACAGGAAGCTGCTCTACATGATTTGGGGTTCCAGAGCCCAAAGTTTACTTGGAGGAGAGGAAAAATCAGGGAAAGATTGGACAGGTTTTTGGTGAACACTCACTGGTTTCAAAACTTTCTTCACACCTCTATTAATCACTTGACTATGACCGGGTCTGATCATAGGACACTTCTCATCACAATATCAGGTCTGTGAAGAATGGAATATCTCCTTTCAGATACCAAAACATGTGGTATGCACATCCATAATTTTTAAATGTTATCTCTTAACAATGACAAGGTATTCAACACCATAAACCATGGATTCTACTTTGGTTACTTCAAAAAAGATAGGGAAGGCGCTTAATTTATGGAATTGGAACTGCTTTCGGGAAATCTTCAGTCAAGTGGAGCAAGCTAAGCTAGCTGTTGGAAATCTGGGGAAGGCTTTGGAGTCAGGTCAAGTGGATGAGGCTGCTCTCTTTGAAGCTAATGAACACCTGCTTACTGTTACCTCTTGGAAAGAAACATTTCTTAAACAAAAAAAATTTGTTGCTAGATTTGTGGATGGGGATAAAATAGCAAGTATTATCGTGCCTGTATTAACTTTAAGAGGAAGTGTAATGCTATTCACAAAATTCGTAGTGTCAGTGGAAGGTGGCTAGTTGACTCTATGGAGGTTGCTAATGATGCTCTGCATTATTTTCAAAACTTGCTCACATCACCTACCATCTCTAGGACACCATGCAATTCAAACCTCTTTTTTGAGGATAAGATCTATATTAGAGGTATGGATCTCACTTTTATACCTACTGAGGAGGAAATTTGGCTTGCTCTTAATCCCATAGACTTTGGTAAGGTGGTTGGTCTTGATGGCTTCTTAGCTGATTCATACAAAAAAGCTTGGTCTCAGATAAAGCAAGATGTCATTGTTGTTATACAGAGCTTTTTTCAAGGTTTGGATCCTCTCAAGTACTTTTGCAGCTCCAATATTGCCCTCATCCCCAAGACTTCTGAAAAAAGTAGTTGGGACCATTTTTGACCCATAAGTTTAACCACTGTGATCAGTAAGGTCATTATCAAGATTCTTGTTTGTAGACTAAAACCACATCTACTTAAATTTGCTCAAATCAATCTGCTTTTGTTAAAGGTTAGATGGGGCAAAGTTATCTGGAATAAATTTCTTACCGCTTCCGTGTTCATTTTCTGCTGGAGACTAATGCTGAAGCTACTCCCTACTGATGACATCCTTAAACTCAAGGGACTTAGAGGGCCCTCATGTTGCTTATTATATAAGAAGGAAGAAACCATTGATCATGTCTTCTTTACCAGTAAAGTTGTACAAAAAGTTTGGGCAGGTTTAGTAGGCAAACTATCCCTTAACACTATTAATCTAGGGTGGTACAAATTCAAAAAAGGATCACTTTGACTGCTTTTCCGCATATTGTGGCATGGTGTGTTTTGATGGACAAAAATTATCTTAAATATAATGAAACATCATTCGAAGAACTTTGGGTGATCTCTAATTGGACGGCCTATATTATCAAACTCATTAAGTTCAAAAAGCTCCCAGCTGTTCTCAATAGTCAAAGTAACCACACTGATTCTTGTAATACACCTGTGATCTCAAAGATTTACTGGAGAAAACTAGCTCCCCCCAGGATCAAAATTAACACTGATGGCAAATTCTTTTCACAAAATGCTGGAATTGGAGGGGTATTCAAAAACCACATTGGGCAATGTATACTTGTCTTTCAATCTCCTGCTTGGGTTTTGGATGCACTTGAGGCTGAGGTGGTGGCAGTTGTT